TATTGTGCTGGCGAAGATTCTCAATATGTCGTAAATGTATTGCTGTGGGGATCTGAAAGTATATTTGGTAAGTGCTGTATAACAAAACACTATTATGGAAGTTTCCATTCTGGTGCTGCTTTACAGCGTTTGACAGGAACAAAACATTAGCTCACTCAACTAAAAAGCTTTGAGCTGTTACCTTCATCCTTGTGCCAACTCAGCCAGCATAATAACATGGGAGATATCTGTCTGAAGGACTGCTGTGAAGGACAGTAATGAAACTCCATGCTGAAATACAGTTCTATGCATCACTCTTGAGTCATGTCTGATTTTTTATATTAAGCTGGGGAAATGGGAAATAGGTGAAGGTGAATTATTGAAAACTATGCAAACACATATGGAAATACAGTACACAAGGCAAAAACATTGCTGTACAATTCTAATAAGCTCTTCAACAATTGGTTTGACCACCTTTATTCTTCAGCATTGCCTGAATTCTCTTTGGCAGCTTTCTTATAATTTCTTAAAGTAGTGTTCAGGAATAGTTCTCCAGACCTGGTGAAGGACATTCAAAGCTCTTCTTTAGATATCGGCTGCCTTTGTTCTGTTGTCTTTCAAGATGATCCCACACTGCTTCAAAAATGTTGAGGCCCGGGCACTTAGGAGGCCAGATGATGACCTCACTATTGTCATGGGTGGTCAAACTTTGTGTCGAGGAACAGACAATAGTGTTCCATTGTGTGTTTTTCTATCCAGGTATCCATTCCGAGGGTGTTTGGGATCATTGTCATGAATGACGGTGTTGCCATCAGATGCTTTGAGGATAGTATTGCACGGTGAATCTAAATCAGATGGTACTTTTGGTTGAAATGCAGCCCCAAACCATGACAAAGCCTCCGCTGCCTTTTAAAGATGGCTTTCGATGCTTATTGTTTTACCTCTCTGCTGAGCTCTGTTGTAGATACTGACAAATATTTGAAACAAATATTAGAAATGTTGATTCATCACTCCATCTGACCTGTTGCCACTGATTTCCAGTTCTTCTCTAATGTGGCATGCCTCAGCCTTTCCTCTCTGCTTCCTTCCATAATAATGGCTTCTTGACAACCAACCTTCTACTGAGACCATTTCTGGTGAGGCTTTAGGGAACAATAGGTGTATCAGTAGAGCATTCAGATGCATCTGTCAGGTCCTTTGTCAGATTTTTTTCCTCTTCGTGACTTTCAGATGTTGTTCATCAGCTACAGATAGTTTTCTTTTAGGGCTGCTCCTCCTTCTTTTTCCCTCCACTTGTCCAGTATCCTCAAATTTTTTAAGGACAAACTGCGCATCATGTTGAGATGCTTATGCTTATAGCACTTTGGGAATTATCTTGTTGGTGGAAAAATAGCAACAAGGTAATTGCCTGTCAAACTGTCTTATCTTTTGCATTTTTTATAGATTAAACTAAAGAAACTGCAACAAATGATCTTCTTGTTCAACAGGCAGCTAAATACAAAGTACCTAAGGATACAATTCGAAACTGGCGCTTTGCTACATTTAAACACAACCGTGGATCATCTCTTGAGTTAGAGGCCTATTTTATGCTTCCTTGAAAATGGTCAGGCACCAAGGCTGGCCTAAAAATGGATGAAAAAAGCAGCCAACAGAAGATCTTTAAAAAGCCCGGAGAACTATACAGAGCGCTTTGAAAAAGCACGAGAAAGTCTGGCTCCTTGGAAGCAAAATATAAAGAAATGAGGGGAGCTCATAACTGGCACACAGTACTGTGTGCATCACCTCTAAAGGCAAATGTAAAGGCGTACATAAAAGGATTTTAGCTGGCACGTACAATGAAAAATACATTTCTCTTAACAAAAAGTTGAGGAAACAGTCACAACTCCACTGACCTTTAAAATCTGCAATAACTTGTTATTGGGCCCTGCACATGTGGAAGCAAACTGTGATAACCTTTTTCATTAGATGGTTCAAAGGTATCATTTAACATTGTGACATAGTTAGAAGTTAGTTCATTTTAGATACGTTTTTGGTCGCCTGGTGATATTTCCTTTCTTTCTGGCCTGTTTTTTCACCCAACCCTTCAGCTGCTCAGTGCTCTGTTATGTTTACCATAGTCTCAGATGACTGTTTCCGCATGCTGAGCAGTATTGCAGCCCCAAGGCGCTTTATGTTATAAGGTAAAGATCATAAAATAACAAAGCAGCAGTCCAAACAAGTAATAAATAAACCAAACGTTGCTTACAACCAGCGCAGTTGTAATTACTGGGCCACCTTCTCCCCTCTGCTCTCCGTCACTGTCAAACACAATGTGTTCATCAATATCTAAAATGATTCTCTGCTGTGTCACAAAGAGGAAATTATAAGACCAGGTGTCAAAAGTCATTGCCTAGAAGCGGTCGCAGTAATCTAATGAGTCATCTTGTGCGTTCATTTAGAAGCTGACTCAATACTACTGACAGACCTCGAATGAATACAGGAAATTAAAGGCTGCAGTACACAAAAGAATATGTATCCAGGTAGCTAGTCGATGGATGCTGTTTATTTATTTCAAGTCTAATATTTCATCATCATGTCACACAAACTCTTTAAATGGATTAAAAAATAAAACCAGGTCTAGTCTATTTTATCTTTGAAACCTAAACTATACTACGCACATAAATCAACCTCTTCTATATTTTCATCATCCAGACTGCTGCTCTTCCCCCTGGTGGTACTGTTATGTTATTATGACTGTACCATAACCACTTCTGCCTTCTATTTATTTCTGCTTTCCAAATAAAGACTCCATTGTCTCCTGTAAGAAAGTAACTGAGCAATTACAATTTTAATTAGCTGTTGACTCAGTGGTATCCATTTTTGGCACGTTTATCTGTATCTTTTTTTCTCTCCCTTTGGGTCCCCCTGAGAAATAATTGACTGCAAAACCAAAATACAGTTATTAACTATTGATTCACGTGTCAGTCAACCTGAAGTCTGCATGGAAAGCAAACAGAATGAATTAGAGGCTCAGGGTTTTTTTGCAAACTATTCACAATAATGGGACCTTGCTTTGACAGCTCAGAAAGATGCACAAAGTTCTGTCACAGTGAAAACTGCACTTTGGGTTCCGATCATTTTATGCTCACCGGTTTGCTTTCCATATTTTAGTCAGCACATAATTTTTTGTGATTTGTTTTTTAAGGTTGTGTGGATGGTCTATTTCACCTCATTTCTTTCACTTGTCTCTAACATACCAGTCTAATGTATAATGCCTGCAGCTATAGTGCTGTAAATACAGATCGATATAATGAAATACTCATAAAGTGATTTGCTCTTTTCTTGGCCCCTAAGTTTAACCCTTTTCCTCTGTCAACACTCAGCCCTCATATCTCCCCCACGCCTCCTCTGATATTACATCTCTCTTTCCTCTAAACTCCCTTACTCTCTGCCATGGGTTTAAATAGCAGGACCAGCTGGCCACATCAATATACGCAGGACCTCTTTATCACAGGTGCTGGGATTACAGACACACACATACATGTGCTGTAGAGCTTTAAAAATGGGACTTGATGGAGAGTAAAACTTGTCTAGAGAGAACAGTGTGTGTTCATTAACCAGACACCATAGATTCGTATTTGTTTCTATCTTGCAGAAATGAGAGTTGTAGTACTTCTGCTGTCCAGCGGGTGGAGACGTGCCATTTTGAAAAGGGGCCCGCAGCATACTCCTGTCTAAATAGTACAGTCATTTGAACAGCTGTGTCAGATTACTGTGAGCTCACTGTAACACCTCTGAAACACCAAAACAAGGCTAGAGAAGAAGATGATACTATGGGTTAAACATTATCCACGCTGATTCTTTTTCTTTAATCATCTCCCTCATGTTCTCCTGCCATTGAAGTATATGGTTGATCTGAAAACTGCATGCTAAAATATTTTGAAATCTGGTTGATGATAACCCTCTGATACTTTCCACTAAGTTTTATGCCCATGGCTCAAGAACTCCAGCACCACCAATGGGTTAAAGTTGGAGGTGCACTTCATACAACAGTTTATTTTAAATGAATTCCACAAGAAGTTTTAGCCAAACACAGAGAAAAACTCTGCAAGCATTATCTCATAGCATTCACCAATTTAAAAAAAAAAAGAATGTTCACTCTTAACCCAAATAGCAGCAGCAATCGACCTTTATTTTATTTTATTTTACTTAGTATTACTAGTTGGAGAAATGGCATAATACACATTTAGTGTTAAAGTAAATTCATATTTTGTTCCTCAGTTCTACCACAACAAGATGTAGATCTACCAGCCCTCAGAAGTTGCAGCAAAGGTGAAACCACGAATCCATCCAACAGCTCTTAATAGTAAAATGCACTTTTGCAAAAATACAACATAGTAATTCCAACCCTGACCACAAGACGCATCATTTCCATTACAAGAGCAGCTTTGTTTGTTTGTTTGTTTTCAAAGACTGGCCTTGAATGCCAAATCCTGCTGTACCTCCTCTTCTTTTTCTCCCTTCTTCGATTTTCATGCTTCACAGTCACACCTGAAAGTCTGGAGAGTAAGAAGAGGCTCTTACTCTCCAGAGTGGCTCTCAGACAGAGGACAGCTGTGACCTATCACTTATCTCTCTAAAGCTGAACAGTCCTTGCACACAGAAGTAGTTTAGGGTTCATTGTCTTGCTGAAGAGCACTTCAACCAAGACAAAGCCATGCACAGAGCCTCAAGGTGAAAACATTTCAACCTGACCTTGATAATATTTGGAAAAATACTGGTCATATCACCTAACATATTATTTGAAATCATAGATTTCATAGATTTAAAATAATAGACTATACAGTGATTAAACACCACAGTATGATATGTAAGCAATAATTGATAAAAGAATAAAAAAGAAACCTGAGGTGACCCATGTGCAATTTATGTTTAATATTTATTTCTAAAATATTTCTCTATCTTGGAAAAAATTATAAGTATTAAAGTCTGTCACAAGGTGGCGACATATACATATCAAAGAAAAGGCTGTGGGGGCGGAACAATTCTTTTGGTTGCACAGAGAAAAGGGGACACACAAAAGTGACGGACCGTTATTGCGATGAAACGTTATACAAAATAAGTGAAAGGTAAAATAACACGCGAGGTTTCCATGAAAGAGATTTTCTCATCCAAGAGGTTTTACATTAAATTGTAAAAACTAATTGGTCGTTTAAAAGAAACAAACAGGGGAAGTTGGCAGTAGGCTGAGCTTTTCTTAGTGAACCATCGTTAGCTCCTGGGAAGACGGTGGCTAAGTGACACCGCGGTTAATGATGTGGGGAGAGATCGACCCTCCTGTTAAAACACAGCCAAGCTTGTGTGAGACTGAAGACGAGAGGAAAATAGAAGAGATAATACTGCCACGGAGACGGAGATGTGACTCCAGCAGCTCTGAAGACACCCAGCGGGTGGTGCAGGACATCCAGGTGAAGCAATCAGCGACAACAGCGTTTGTTTGTTTTTTCTTTTCAACCACAGTGTCAGGTGCGGTCTGCCATTATGACGCCTCGCTGATTTACTCTTTCTGCTCATCATACAGAATATAAACCTGAGCGAGTCCAGCTGTGTGAATGCCATGATGGAGGCCATAGCTGTGAGCGGCGTCTTGGTGAAGAGCCAGCAGATCGGAGAGGCTGAGCTGACCGTGCAAGAGCGCAGAGAGGAGCTGCTGCATCAGTACCGCAGCAGGCCGCTGGTGTTCCTGGAGAGGTACCATGTATGTGCCCACAGTTCAACGTGTGTGTGTGTGTGTGTGTGTGTGTGTGTGTTAGTGAAGGGCAACATCGCCCAATATAGATGCTTAGAGGCAATGACATTCATAAGTAAATCAAGGCAAACTTCTTTCCCAGTGACGTGCTGCCATTGATGGCACTCTTTATCACTTAATGTGTCACTCTGTTGGAACAAGGTGCCAGCATTGTAGTTCAATAGTAGTGACAGAGCATGAATCAAATTTAAGCACAAAAGTAGCCTAGTTAGTGCTAGTGTCAGTAATGCCCACATCCCTTTTAGTGTTCCTGTCATATGGAGTGCAACCAGCGAGTGCTCAAATGACACAGTGGAGTCGTTTGTTGACATTTGGGTCACACATCATCAGCTGTTAGCATCTCCTCCTCCTTAGCCTGGCTGTACTTAGCTTTGTTTTTGCCTTAAGGAGTGAAAGAAGTGTGTCTTGTTTTCACTTTCAGTGGGAACAAATTCCTTGTATATTTTGCAGAGTACAGCATTGGCTGATGGTTGTTGAGCTATATATATATATTTTTTAAGTACTAAATCTTCCTCTGTAGAGGTGGGCCTATCGATCTAAATATCATTTTGATACCAGCGCTGGCATTGGTATTGGGTTGTTACTAGTGCGATACGACTGATACTTCTGTCCTCTGAGTTTAGTTTGCAGAGCACTGAATTGTGTTGAATAAACTGTTATTATTGTTTAGAAAGAAAAGATGTACTTCAAACATGCACTGTGACTGTGTGTTGACTGTTACGTCTACCTATAACACATTAAACAACAGAAGCTGACCCAAAAGTTCTTTACAGACAGGAACATTTACATTACAGGTCTGCAAAAAATCCAGTTTCAAAATACATTAACTAAATATTGTGGTGTTGGTAAAGAAGTGAAGAATTCCATTATTATATTTTGTTTTTCATCTTACAATTTCCAGGCTTGCCTGAAGCCTCAGCATCTCTCAGCATTTGCACATGTCAGCTCAGACCCACGAGCACAGCACTACAGCAAGGTGATACAGAGACGGGCTGCAGGACGCACCGACAGGACCAGAGTCAGGAATCAGCGCTATGCTGCCCTCAGGGCTCTGCAGAAGGGTAGGGGCAGCAGCAGTTAATGATACAGTGGACCCATGCAGCATTTGTGCAGATAGCTTTAGTCTTTGATAGTGTCAACTAAGATACTTGTTGCCAACCCACCAACTTCTGTTTTTCTCTCTAACTTGCCATCGGCCTGGTTTTGTTTTGTTTCTTTTTGTGCCATGCCTCCTCTTCTAGACGGCCAGTACTTCAGTGAAGAACAGATGCGAATGAGGGAGCCGCTGCTGTACGAACAGTATATCGGCCAGTACCTGACAGATGAAGAGGTGAGTTCTGTTTATCTTGCGTTTTATATGTGATTATGTTTTTGTATATTTCAGAGTATTTTTCTAATTACCTTCATGAATGCTGCAGGTGCTACAGCGCTCCCAGGAGGCCATGCTGGATGGTGCACAGGGAGGACCCGGAGAGCCGGGGCAAGGTACAGGAGGACTCGCCAATCTGCTCCTCAACTCCTACCAGGAACGACTCATCCAAAATCGTCTGCAGGAGGAGCAGGAGAAGGAAGACGGCGCACTGGAGGAAGAAGAGGAGGACGACGACTACGGTCAGTCAGAGTTCGGGTTGAAGAAAAAACTTCACACTGAAGTTAAGCAAAGAAGAAAATTTAGGCTTTTTTCTTTTCTTCTTCTTTTCCCTCCATCTTTTCTTATTCTGCTCTGTGTTTCATGCTGTAGATGACAGAGACCAGCAGAAGGATTGGGAGCCGACGCCAGAGGAGAAGGCTCTTCTCAGAGAGGAGTTCATCAGTCAGATGCACCAGCGTTTTCTGGATGGCAAAGACAAGGATTTCAACTATAGGTCAGTCACACAGCACACAGGAGCAGTTCAAAGACTTCTTCATTGCGTTGTAGCCAACCTAAAGCTGCCTTTGACAGATCGAGTTCCTCAGACTATTAGGCTACGTTCACACTGCAGGTCTTAATTCTCAATTCCGATTTTTTTGATCAAAGCCAATTTTTTTGTCTGCTTGTTCACACTACAAATAAAATGCGACAGCAAACGTGCTCTAGTGAAAACCTTCAAAGCGGCCCACATACGCAAAAGAAGACGTCACACACAACGCGCTCTGTTTAGACCCAGAGCAAACAGTATTGTTTGACTGATGGCCCTTAATATAAAGACTTTGGACTTTACGTTTCCCAATTTTTGCTTTGAGTTATTTTGTTATTTACATAATAATGTAAATAACCTAATAATGATCCTTATTGCTGTTTTAGAGGAGCGGTGCTTCAAAGGATAGTTGCAGATTTCTGTCAGAATCTGCAGATTATACAGTACAAATAAAATGTTCACGTTTCTCCAGCGTTGTCTTCCCAACAGTTTCACTAACGTCTACACTGGATGGCCAGGAAGCGTTCACGATGCGTTCTCGGGCGCTTCTCCGGAGCTGATAATTGGCGTTAGAGCAGGGCGATATGGCCAAAAATATTTATCACGATATATATTTGAAAATTTGCGATAA